CTTTCTTTCTTTCTTTCTTTCTTTCTTTCTTTCTTTCTTTCTTTCTTTCTTTCTTTCTTTCTTTCTTTCTTTCTTTCTTTCTTTCTTCGTGTTTTAAACTGTCAGGTGTATCACAGGTCATGCCATAGCGATGAGCAGTGTGATTCGCTCTCATTCTGTGGCACATACCTGCGACGACAGTGCACCAAGGTCGACGTCTTACGGTCTGCTTAAACGACTTTGTTGTCGAAAATTTATTAATAATTTATTTATTTGGTTTGAGTACATAGAGAACACGAAGACAGAGGAAATAGGGAGGGAACAGGCTGACAACTGCAACTTATAGGGGCACAACGCCTGCCTGCTCCTTCGGGAAGAGAAGGCATAGGATAAAGAAGGCAGGGGGGGGGGGAGAAAAAATAGAGAGAACAGGAAAGTAAAAAAAGAAAATTGTCGAACACACGCAAACACAAATAAATAGTCTTACAAAAAATTTCTATAAACGCTGACGTCAAGTCCGTTTTCTTTAAGAAAGTTAAAAGGGCTCTATGGGCCTGGTCACGCCTAGAAGCGCATCCTCCTCGGAACATCGAATCGTCAATGGTCGCGCACCTTAGCCCAATCAGTCAATAGTCATTTTTTAGTAGTGCTTGCTTGAAAATTGTCAGGTCTGCGTGAGTCACGCAGTGCAGTAACAGTGAAAACGGGAAGAGCAGCCTTTCTAGAGACCGTTGTCGACTATCTTGGGGCAATTTATGTAAATACACGTGTTAGGTACTCACTACCATAAACCATCGCCATTTTTACGAAGAAGAGAAGCACCTCGTGTGCCACTATCCATAATTCCGAGGAGAAGTAAGCTAACATTCCCATCATTCCCAACAGTAAGCTATTATGTGCTCTTTGTTTGTCCGGTGGCTGATGATAATGAATAATTATGGCTGAACCCATCGTTATGACTTTGGAGCATGCAGCGGTCCACTAGTCGTGCAATTTCGATTGTGTTTTTTACTCTTCTGTTTCGCTTTAATAAATATGTCAACGCGATTCCTTGCCCGACAACGCCGGCATAGGGTTTCTTCGCGAAGGAGTTTCAAGGGCCGGCGTGGCTTTGTGGAATACTGGGATACTATGCAAATGGTGCCATTTCAATCCTATTCAATTCTCTCATTTTTTCCAAATTTGTTATTTCACGCGATAGCGATTAGCGCACCGGTGGTGGCGGTGGTGGCATTTCAATACGGCACTAAAGTTGGCTGTTGTGATCTGAGAACCACTTTCGCTGTAAAAAGTTGAAAGGCAGGTTATCGAAACGACCACAATTAGTTTTGGCAAACACATATGTTTGCTCTCGAAGTCACTTGTGGCTGCTTATCTATCAGCAGTATCTTCAGTTTTACAGGCTGTACGCTATGGTGTCCTAGAGGTCATGGTGCGGAGCTGCTGACACAAAAACGTGGCTTTGTTTTCTCCCCCATCTCCTCGTCTTTCTGTGGTGGTCGCATTTAGATGTAGGAGATATGTTAGACGGCCGTGTATTGTGCGATGCCAGTGCACAATTATGAACCCCTGATGATCAGCATTACCCAGTGCCCTTCATTACGGTGTGTTCCAAAGTCTGAGCCACTTTGAGATGTTAAACCCCACAACCCAGTCATCACCCCTTGCCTCACCGCAACAGAGACAAGCGTTGTAGCGATATAATCTTCAGGATAGCTGTAATTAACTATGCAGTGAGAGTTTTGTGGTTAGGCTTTCTGATTGTATTTACTTGGCTTAACATTCTGCTGCATGCCATGCTTGTCTCTGCATTACTCGATATTATCACATAACGCGCTATTAGATTACCTATTGAAGTAAATATCGTAGCGCACTTACACACATGTTTAACGAAGCTGCATTTTATTTTGCATGTCAATAGAACAACCTTTTCTAACTGATGTGACCTCGGCACGATGTCCAATAGGTCCACGCGTGTTTTACCGCTTGGAGCTTTATCGCGTCGTGGACACGATTCCCTTCAATTCCCTCAAATCGACTTCGACGAATCCTTCCAGGAAATAGGATCTGTCGCGACGTATTACAGGCGACCGCAAGGCGAGAGCCACAGCTCACAAAGAAAGCTGCATGTTGCTCGCATCGCGAGACGTCGGATCGGATCCTATCCGGATGGCCACATCGAGTGCCCCCGGGAGGTAAACAAGCCTGCGGTGGAAACGTTGTGGATATAGGCTCACTTCAGGGCGACGCGTTTGCGCAAACGTGGCCTACCGATCCGCGTGGCCGTACACGCGGAACGTATACGGCAGCTGCGCTTTGTACCGGATCAGCGAGCCGAGGAAACAAACCGCTCGCGGCTAAGTTCTCACTTATAGCCGCGACGGCGGCCCCCGCTGCGTCAGCGTCACCCGCCTTGCCTCGGGTAATAGCGAGCCTCTGAGACACCCTAAACGAATCTGACCCTGGAAGTAATAGGGTTAGGTGAACTGATGACGTTCATCCCTCTTGCCTGCCGCGGCAGGTAAACAATGACGCAAGCGTTGAAAGGAGAGATTCACTACATAGCATGGTGCACTAGAACACCAAGAGAAGATGGAATAAGAGGCGCGATATTGTTTGTTCAGAAAGGCACATATGTAACTCATCATAGGTTATTATACACAAACAGCCAATCGTGTGTATCACGCCTGCAAGGTGTCGCAGTACGTTAAAGAAAGATAATGGTGCAAAGAAAAAAAAACAGGAGAGAGATAAAATTTAGGCAGGGATGTTAACCAGTCTGGAAAAACTGGCATGCTACCTTACGCTGCAGGATAGGGTAGTTTGGAAGTTAGACGTAGAGAGAATGTGGGAAAAGGTGATCACACGTACTAAAGACCATGCTCTTCACGGCCACAATATCGCTGTTCGTTCATAACTGCAGGTGAAATTCCGTTTTGTTCTAGCACGTAAGAAATGGCTTCGTCGTCTCCATCAACGATGACTTCTCAGGACGACACTCCAGAGCACAGTGCTTCTGCCCTGCACAAGTGCTTGCAATTCAAAGCTTTTACCGCAGCCGAAGCTAATCATACATATGTTTCCTTGTCAATGATTAAATCATGGAACAACAAAATCATATTCAAGGTGCTGTATAGGAAGATAGATCGTGAGCTAGGAACACACAGACATAACCTTTTATGTGCTGTAAGAAATAGCTAAGAAAACTTACGTGTTCAAACGGCGAAAGTTTCGAGCGCAGAAGCCCGTGATTATCGTTGCTGTATAATATTTTTACAAGCGACACATATGAACATCATCCGCACATCATCAATGAAAGATTCTTTTTCCCCCATGCAATAACCCTGTGGAACACCCTCCCCGACAGTATTGTTTCGTCCACTGACCGCCCGACTTTTCGCGAAAAAATAACAATGCATCTGACCTCAATTGAAATAAATTCCTAGTTGAACCATGTTAGTAGCCAACTTTTCATGACTCATGCATTATGATGCTGATCACTTATGTATATTGCTGTTTTATTTCCAGTTTACGGTAGTTGTTTTTTTTCTGCTTGCTTGATTCCTTTCTTAGAGATGTTTTTTCTTTCTTCGTCTTTTCTTCCTTTTTCGGCGTTTGTGTGATTAATAGTCCGTCATATATTGCGTGCCCCCGCCTTATGTAATGCCTCCGGGTCCTTAAGGCTTCAATAAATGAAATGAAATAAAATGAACTAACCATAATATGACACGTATAGCTGAGACCGTGTGACATTCGTTAATTATAACGATGCTCCAACACAGGAAAACGTTGCCGGAAATTTATACGGCCGTGTATACCGATGACAAAACTGCAACGTAGATGTAATAATAATATCTGGAATTTTTCATCCCAAAACCACACTAGGACTATGGGGGACGCTGTAGACAAGAACTATGGAAATTTTGACCATCTGGCGTTTTCGACGTGTAAAAAATGTAGATGGGAACGGCAATACTTAGAGCCTGTTGTGGCTATATCAGTATTAGCGTTGAAATTGCCCAGGTTTTGATAATACAAATCATGGTCCTCTATTCAGTTTTTTCCTAACTGAAACGGGCGTGTTGATTACTAATCGGCTACGAAACGACATCTCGAAGAGTAAATACCTTCGACTTATCGCTCGGTAATAACTACGGCAATGGCTATTAGGTTCCTGATGATTACGGCGTTTCTTCAATGATGCCAGAATATGCGGTCACGCATGATGTTTCCATGACACTCAAAGTAAATGTTAGTTTCCTCGTGGGTAATTAATTACGTCTGCGTGGTATGCAGCGTTCACTAGGACAGATTACAAACGAACGGTGGCCAGTGTGGTGAAGAAAGGAAGAAAGATACATAAAAGGGAGAGGCAAGTCGACTAGAAGTAAGTCACACGTTGGAACTCGCGGCTTTGTAACGAGATCATGGCGACGGTATTAATGAGAGGAACGCAGTTCCTCCTCCATGGGTGACTGCTTTTCGCGAGAAAAACCATAACGGTTCTTCGCTGCAGACGGCACCACCAATCACTTGGCTTTTCTTTTCTTTCCACGCTGGAATGGAAGGAGCGCGCGAACTTTTGGCGTAGCTACGACAGGACCCCCTTTTTTTTAAATCTTCTCTCACTCGAGTGACTTCCCGTTTCCCTTTGGCTGCGGGCTTTTCTTTAGTTAACTAAGAGGCTTGGTTTCAATTAAGCGCAGGCGCCTAATGAGCTGCTTCTCGAAGGGCTCTCTCCTGATTAGTGAGAACCGTATTGATGGCATAATTCCTCCGACGCTGTCAGGGTAGAAAGCAACAAAGCTGAGAGATAAGACCTCGTGCGGGAAGACAGTCTCGTAAAAAAAGAAAAAAAGGCCTCGATTTTTCTTTTTCTCTCTCGGCGCGAAATGGGTCAGGGTTGCGGTTTCACGCTCTTGCAGCTATCGCTCGCAATTCGAGTGAAGAGTTCCAGGAGTTCCTTTTTGCAGGAAGTGAGTTCGCTCTAAGCACGTGTCCCGAATAAGGAAAGCCGTTAAATGCACGGCAAGGACAAGAAAGAGCGGGAACGGTGAGCACGTTTCGAATTCGTTTAGAACGGCCGGCGAGTTTAAAAGCGGTTCGTTCCCTCGACGGTTCGCGATTTGCTCTTGCGTATGCTGCAGTGTCGGCGAAAACTGGCGCTGCAAAAAAGATGTACACTTTAGCGCGCCCGCACTTACTGTGCGCCAATTGGTCACCTTTTGAAGCAGCGAGATAATCGAGACGTGACGCTGCTGCGGCGCTCAATCATTTGAAATTTGTATCGCGCGTAATGACCGGATTTGCGAAATGCACGGATGCGTGGTCATCTTGAGTCAAGCACGCGTTGAAGGGCGAGAATTGAGGTTACGACGCGTCGTTCTTGACTCAGACGTGCATCACGAATTTCACATCCCGTCCGGGTTTACAGATGCGGGATTTCACATCCCTACGCGAGAAGGAATCCCAACAGAAAACATAACAAACGTTTATTCGATTAACAGCAGCAGCGGTCGAGCATACCGACGCTACGTTTGTGTGTGCAGTGAAGCAAGTGATCCCGTACCAAGCTTGGCAGTGTGGTTTTGTAGCCACCACCGGTGACGTATATTTCTTCAGTGATGCTGCGGTGGCGCTGTCCTTATCGGAGGCGTAGTGTAGCGTGTCACGTGTCACGCCGGACAAGATAATGACTAGGCGGAGGCTGTGCCGTATTATGTGCCGAGTGTGTCACCACACACCAGCAAGTATAGGGCATTGTACATTGGTTACTATACTGTGTCTGTGCTGCTTGAAAATATTATAAATATAGTAACTGTTTCGTTTTATGTCTTAAAAACCGCGATATATTTATGAGGCATGTCCTTGTGGAGGGCTCCATTAATTACGACCATTAGATGTCTCTTCGGCACTTTAAACACTTTCGAAATGCAGTCGTGGCGTCCGGGATTTGATCCCGCGACCTTCGGGTGAGAAGTCGAGCACAATAACCAGTATAGAACGCAGCAGTGCGGATCACGAAAGCTCTCATTGCTGGAAGAACGCACTTTTATATACGGACACTAAGAAACGCGAAGAGCACTGCAGTCTTTGAGAGGTTTGCTTGCGCTACAGATATCTGCAGAGATATATCAGAGGTTTTTAGCAAGCTACGGAGGCACGTTACGGAAATGCGGCAATACAGAACTGGGTGACGTGTGCGCATGCGCTAACACTACCGGTACGAAAAAGCATCGGAAAAGCTTTGCGTATGCTTCCGGGACTATCCGTATACTCTAACCGTGCGCATCATTTCTTTTTAGCCAAGCCAGTCCAACTGGAGACAACCAAAGAAAAAAAAACGGTGTCGACTGCACCGACTGCGCCGCGCTCGGAATCGCACTTGGCTGCCGTTTGCATGCGATTTTCAAGGAGCGACGGTTTAATCCTCGTCAGGGTGGTCTCCGAGATTCTCCTTGAACTTGGATTGACTTCTAATAAACTTTGGATGTGAAGAAATTGTGACTGAAAAAGTTGTGAATTTTTTTTGCCTAATTAGCGCAAAACATTTGTACGTGGCACGTAACTATCACACCTTGCCAAACTTTAGCTGACTACTAACATCATCATCGCGTTACCGTACGAATTCAGCGGTTTCTGCAACTAAAACAAGTTGTGACGTGGGATACGCACACACGGAACGCGTATACGGAAAGGAACCGTGCCGTATTTTTCTAACGTTTTACGTTGCTTGCTAAAAAAAAAAAACCTTTATTAACGCAAAATTGTTAGAGAGCTCGTTTCGTGGAAATTGCGGCGTGGATGTCATTAGTATTGAGCAAAAAATTATCTTGTTCGTGACAGAAAGTGAAGAAAGATGTAAAAAATAAACAATAAAAATTTCCGGGTTTAAGTTGGAATCGATTTCAGGCCATCAGCGTGCCAGGCAAGTGTTTTAGCACAGAGCCACAGCATTTTCTTTAGTTTATGCATTGAAGCAATTTCATTGTAGTAGTGCATAAGAGGAAGAAAATAGAAAAAAGGGGAAGAAGATCGTGGGTGTTTTCTTTTCTTCTGTCACATGCGCATACACATTGGTGCCTACACTCCATAACACTATGAAATATTGTCACTTGTTTCTATACACTTCATAGTTTCAGAATTAGATTGACATGCATACATGCTCAAAACACAATTTCACGCAGTCCGACGAATTTACAAAGGTCCGGTAAACAAGCACAAGCGTCGAGAAGTACAAGCCACACAAGACCAGGGTCGAAAGTTTCCACAACACTGAGCCCATTGGCCGCCTCTTCTCGAAATAGCAACGTACCTGTAAAAGGCCCAGCACAAAAATTCACAGCATACCACGGGAGTGAATGATGATGAGTGGGGCGAAGTGTTCGTCCATCCGTCCATGCTTCTGTTTGTCTGTATGTTCGTGCGTGCGTCCATCTGTCCGTACGTCAGTGCTTCTGTCTGTCTGAATGTCTGTCCGTTTTTGCGTTTGTGCGTGCGTCTACCCGTCCGTGCTTCTGATACAATGATGAAGTGATACAATCACCACTGATATATTTCAAGAACGCGGTTTGAGCAATTTGAAGAACACTAAAGAACAGTATTTCCGGTTTACACCCCAGCCTTTCTGCATTACATTTGTCTCGCTTCTTTACCTTGAAAAGAACTAGAAAGCTTTATGAAAACCATGGTAAGATCGCATTAGAGCTTTCTTTTTGTGTGTGTAAAGCGCTAATCTGACACCTCGTACAACTTTATTCTGTGAACACACACCAAAGTTCACAAAAGAATGCAAAATTTTCTGCACGGGATGAAACGCAAGGAAACACTCGTGAAGTGAGAAAGAGAGAGGAAGTCAGTACTCGGCCCGAAACAAGTTCGATTAGGCTATGTACGTTATAGAGGTGCGGGTGTTTATAGAGCTATGTATTGAGAAACTGGCTGTCCCGACCGAAAAGCGCTCACGAGGAAGAAAGGCCGTCTACACTACAGTCATGCAGACAGTTTCGGCATTCGATACGACCAGAAAGAGCAGCCGAGTCCGTTGTGTGTGGTCATGCGTAAAACAACCCCATTGGCATAGCAACGGGATCTGTTTGTACTGCGTTAGCGAGAATAAAGAAACGAAATAATGGAGGCGAAGAGGAACCATATCTCTTGCACACCGTAAGCCCGAGGGATGCCGGAGATGTTCTCAAAGTGTGTGCGAAGAAAGCCTAGAAAACTCCGAGCAAATAAACTAGAAGCAAGAACGGAAAACATCGCGTCAAGTGCCAACAAAGGCGAATACGTTGTCGAGTTGCTCGAATTTGGCTCCTCGAAGTTTTCTTTGTGTGTTGTGTGTTGTAGACACTGTTGAGTTGTCAAGACGCACAGAGGAGGCTTTTTCGCGGTTGAAGTGCTCGATTCGAAACGCAAATAAGGAAGCAAAAAAAAAGGGGGGGGGGGGATGAGATATATTCGCACTTTCCCCACTTGAATAGCGGAGCAGACGTCTTTTGTCGAGAGCATAGACCCTTAGAGAGATACTATATTCTGCTGCAGCTGTATGTTCAGGTAGAAAATAAAAGACTCGACAGTGTTGTTTGTCATTCCTTACGACGCCAGATTTTACTAAAGCATTGCATCGTAACGTCTATTAGAGCGAGCTCGTGGGGAATGGTACAAGGAAAACGGGTTTTATTTAGTATGCAGTTTTTAAATAAAAAACGCCAAATAATGAAAGGTTTTATTAAGAAACAATAGTAACTTGTTCTAAATAATCCGAAGTTATTTCTCATACCGGTTTACTGCGGGACAGCCCTTTCTGCTTCAGTGTAGTAGACTGTTTGTTTTCATTTAGGTGCGACTATAAGAAGACGGGCTGCATTAGAAGACGGGCTGCACTATCTCATTAGAAGACGGGCTGCAAGAAGACGGGCTGCACTATCCCCAAAATCATGAACTTAATATCGAATTAACGAATAAGCGAAAAAATAATAAATTTTGGCCATCTTCTATCGGTAAACATCGTTGGCAATCATCGCAGCGTCTTGCTGTTCAATTGTACACTAGTGAACGGAGACTATTGTTTGCAAACTACGAAGGCCACAACAGGCCATAACCGTGGCAGACGATAATGATAATGTCCTAATGTAAAGTGATAGACCAATAGACAAAAGTCGTGGGTTTGATCTCGGCCGCACCGGTTACATTTCGATGGAGAGAAAATGCCGGATGCCCGTGTGCTGTGCAATGTCATTGTTCGTTAAATAAAAACCAGATGGTAAGAAATCCCGGAGCCCCCCACTATACGGCACGCCTCATAATCATATCGTGGTTTCAGCACCAATAACCCCCGACTTTATTATATTACAACACTGGCACACATGGGCCAAGGGAAGAAGAAACTGCCGTAAATGCCCCAAAGAAAATAAATTTTCGTATCTCCTCAGTCGACATTTGGCATGATGCTCATGTAGGATTTGTTAACTTGGCGAAGCCACATCTGTGTGAAGCGACACGAAAGAGGACCACGTGTAAGAATAGACGATAACGGTGGGCCTGACCTGTCGTCTGGCCTGTTGCGTCTTCGTCCTTCTGCCATTTAGCCATATCAAGATGAAGACAAGGCTCAGTACGAGTTCGACGTGCACGGGCCCTTTTCGCGTGTGCAGGGCAGGCGGTGGTGAGCCGGCGTGGCCGCGAGCGACTCGCGCAAGGCGGGCGGCCGTCGGGGGCCCGCTGCCTTCAAGGAGGCCATCTCGAGGCGCCTCTCCCGAGGGTCCGTCCACGATGCGTCAGACTACTGCCTCACCGCTAAGGTAAGCTCTCCGTCTCTTCTGTCTCTGTGAATTGTGCTTGATATGAACGCGATAGCGAGGAATTGGAAGGTCACGCTCAGAATGGCAAGCAGATCGAAAACGTGCCCCACGTTTCTCACGCACAAAGAACGCACCAAATGTACTCAAAGGAACAGATTAACGCGAATAAGCGTCTCAGTTGTTACATATCTGTATCTGAAAAGGACGCCCTTTTCGCAAACGGAGGTTGTGCAACGATTGCAATGACCTTTAGGCGCCCGGTAACTACAACAGAATTGTTCCATCGAAACTCAAAAGGCAAGCCAAGACGCACAATTCTCCTCACTGCAAGATAAGGGCACGATCGAGCCCCTTAATCGCTACGCGGGCCAAAGTAAGCGTGAGAGAAGTGAGCCGCCGCGTGCTCACAGCGTCATCTTGCTGATAATGCTGAAATTACAATAGTTCCCCCACCCCCCGAGATGCCCGCCAACAGGGGTAAGTGATAGATATGAATAGCTTGCCGTTTGTACGTTGACGTAGGTATCTCTCGGTGGCTCAGTGGTTAACGCCTTTCATTCACGACGCGGAAGTCCCACATTCGATTCCGCGCACAGGAGTCTTTTTTCTGGGATTTTCTCTCTTTCTCGCATATATATAATATATATATATATATATATATATATATATATATATATATATATATATATATATATATATATATTGTAAGAATTCATTGGACGTCATCTTCCTCATCTGTCAATAACCATCATCAGTCTTCGCCCCGTTCCTCTTCATCATCGGTGCCATATTGCTGTTGCTTGAATAAAGCGTCAGCTGAACCATTGTATTTCAATGGTGGAAGGTGCTTCCCGATCTCTTCGACCTCTCTTCATCCAAAGCCAGCTCCTGGAGCTTCGTTCGGGACGTCGCTTACACCAGCAGAGCACCATGGCACAAGAGCAAGCCCAACAGAACCACCCACCGGCGCAACCACCAGCCGGCAACCCTAGCCCGGTCAACAACCTCCACTCGGGAGCCTCCAATCTTCTCCGGTCTGCCTGGCGAAGATGTCGAAGACTGGCTCGACAACTATGACCGTGTGGGTGTCTACAACAACTGGAACGAGGCATCGAAATTAACACGCGTCCAGTTTTACGTCTCTCAGGTTGCCAAGACGTGGTTCCTGAATCATGAGAGCGACTTCCGCGATTGGTCTTCCTTCAAAGACCAGCTCCGACGCATTTTCGGCACACCGACCGTCCGTTCAGAAGTTGCTTGCAAGAAACTGGCAGAACGCGTTCAACATTGCGGTGAGTCCTACACTTCCTATATTGAGGAACGATTGCAATGACCTTTGGGCGCCCGGTAACTACAACAGAATTGTTCCATCGAAACTCAAAAGGCAAGCCAAGACGCACGATTCTCCTCACTGCAAGATAAGGGCACTTTGCCGCCGTATCGACGACACCATGCCAGAAGGTGATCGTGTCCGGCACCTTCTGAAGGGTATCGGACCTACCGCTTTCAACGCCCTCGTCGCGCACAACCCTTCGACGGTTTCCGACGTCGTCTCTGTATGCCAGCGTCTTGATACCTTGGAGTCAATCCGCCTGCGACCCGATTTCTCTGAGAACCCCCTGGCAAACAGCATGGAGCTCCGATCCATCATTCTAGCCATAATTCGTGAGGAATCGCAAGCCTACAGTTTACCTCCTTCTAACAACGTTGCCGCTCAACTCACCTCTAGCAATCTGCGTGGCATTATTAGGGAAGAAATGTCAGCGTTTCAAAGCACCCGCCGTGCTCCACCATGCCCCCAACCCGCTTCGTATGCACAGATCGCTTCAATGCAACCCTCGCCGTCTCAAGTACCACCTCCTGTGCCTGATCACAAACATCTCGCACCTCTAGTCATCCGTCCACCGAACCCAACCTACCATTCTTCCTGGCGGGCCCCACGGCCTATTTGCTACTACTGTGGAATGCGAGGACACATTTCCCTGGTCTGTCAACGTCGGCAGCAAGATGAACGTCGTGGTTATGCCGCTTTTGAACGAGACGACACATGTGCTCGAGGTTACTACCATTATGCCGACAGTCGTTCCAACCACCGATCACCGTCTCCTGTGCGCATTTACAATACGACCAACAATACACGTGCATCCCGACCACGCTCCCCATCGCCACTCCGACGCTCTGTTTCACCACTTCGGCCTGTCTCTCAACTGGCTGCCCGGCGATCGGAAAACTAAACAGCGCAGTTTTTGGAGGAAAAACTGCGTCGCGGCGAAATGATCCAAGTCCTCCTAAACGACCGTCAAACATGTTATTGGTAACGGTGCAAGGTGTGCGGGTGTTGGCTTTGGTGGACACGGGAGCAACTATTTCAGTTATGCGTGCCGACTTGTGTTCTAGATTGCGGAAAGTGAAGACACCCTACCTTGGATCATCTTTGATTGGGGCCAATGGAGCAATAATTAAACCATCGGCCGAATGTACAGCGCGTGTATTCATTGATGGTATTCATCATCACATCACCTTCGCTGTCTTAATATCATGTGCTCATGAACTAATTTTAGGTTGGGAATTTCTCTTATCAGCATCTGCATTAATTTCTTGCCATCAACGTGTAGTCGAAATGACCGAGACCGATCACTGCAGCGAACGCGTCGACGAAAAACCGTTGCGTTTCTTCACAGCATCCGAATCCATACTGTTCCCGGGTCAGGAGCAACTCATCACCATCACTTCTCCGAATATTGCCAATGGTGACGTCCTTATCATCCCTTCCAGCAGCTGTCTAGCTCGCGGCGTTGTAGTCCCCTCCAGCCTGGTGCGGTTCAAAGACAGTGCTGTGATAATCCTTGGCCTGAACCCTACCCCAGAGCCTGTCCTCCTACCCAAGGCTCTGCAGTGTCATGTTATGTGGATACCCAACCGGTATCTTTAATCTCTCTTGACGCCTTGACAGCTTAGCCACAACAGGCCCAGTCTGTTACTTCCTCCTCCTTCGCTCCCGGGATAAATCCTGACCTTTCTGTTTCTCAACGTGAGGCGTTGCTAATTTTGCTAACGAAACACCAGGCCTCCTTCGACGCCAATGCTTCGGCACTAGGACAGACCACAGTTGCGCATCATCGCATCGACACTGAAGGTCAGACTGTTGTACGCAGTCGTCCCTACCGAGTCTCCTTGGCCGAGCGCAAAATCATCGACGAGAACGTGACCGATATGATAAAAAGAAACATCATACGACCCGCTACCAGTTCTTGGTCATCACCCGTTGTGTTGGTACAAAAGAAGGATGGATCGGTACGATTTTGTGTTGATTACCGCGCGCTCAACAAAATTACCCGAAAGGATGTATATCCGATGCCCCGTATAGGTAATGCACTTGACTCATTGCAAGGCACCCAATACTTCTCCACCCTTGACCTTCGGTCCGGGTATTGGCAAATACCAATGAACGAAGCAGACAAAGAAAATACCGCCTTTTCTACGCCGGACGGTTTTTACGAGTTTAACGTAATGCCATTCGGCCTATGTAATGCTCCCGCCACATTTGAAAGGATGATCGACACTGTTCTTCGTGGCCTCATGTGGAAAACTTGTCTATGATACCTCGATGATATCGTCGTGTTTTCTTCCACTTTTGCTGATCATCTGCAACGCCTAGATCAAGTGCTCACATGTGTCTCCAATGCTGGACTTCAACTAAACACAAAGAAGTGCCATTTTGGCAACACAGCTATAAACGTTCTAGAACATCTCGTTCGTAAAGATGGCATCCAGCCTGATCCTGACAAAATTTCTGCAGTCCTCAACTTTCCGCGACCCTTTCGCTCCAAAGAACTACGCAGTTGCCTTGGACTCGCATCGTACTTTCGCCGCTTCATTCGCAACTTTGCCACTATTGCTGCTCCTCTCCACAAGCTCCTTGCTAGTACCCGTTTCTTCGATTGGAATGATCAATGCGAAGCCTCATTTCAGGAACTCAAGCAAGCACTGACATCCCCACCGGTGCTTGGTTATTTCGATGACAGGGCACCTACGATATTACACACTGCCGCTAGTGGACTAGGAATCGGCGCCGTACTCCTCCAGCGCGACCATGCCTTTCGCGAGAAAGTTGTCGCGTATGCAAGCCGCACTCTGACCTCTGCATAGAAGAGGTACTCGATAACCGAACAAGAGTGCTTGGCTGTTGTCTGGTCCATCCAAAAATTTTGTCCGTACCTACATGGTCGACATTTTACTGTTGTATGAGACCACCATGCTCCTTGCTGGTTGTCCACAATCAAAGACTTGTCAGGACGACTTGGCCGCTGGATTCTCCGATTACAATCTTATGACTTTGACGTCATCTACAAGACTGGAAGACAACATCAAGATGTCGATGCTTTGTCACGATGCCCTTTGCCGCAGTTTTCGGCGCACGTCACATCCCCTTGTCAAATTGGCTATACGGAGGACGCCTCGTTGATATCAGCCATTTCTTCTCCACCTTCACCCACCCGTCCGTCAGTACTTACTACGCACCAGCGAGCCGATTCTTACTGCACTGACATCATCGGTCGGCTTACCGGTGCTTCATCTTCCCCTAATGCCAGGCTCCGGAAACAACTCCGACTATTCAAGTAGGAGGACGATGTGCTATATCGATACATTTTCCACCCGGAAGGCCACCGATGGGTTCCCGTCGTACCACGCGCACTACGCACTGAAGTTCTGCGCGCTTCCCACGACGACCCGACGTCAGGACACTTGGGTTACTACAAATTATACGAGCGCATCCGCAGTCGACTCTTCTGGCCAGGTCTTTCCACGACGGTAGCTAAATATATTGCCTCGTGCGCACTTTACCAACACCGCAAATGGCCCACAACTGCTCCAGTCGGGACCCTACGACTACTTCCTTGTCCATCAGAGCTGTTCGCTGTCGTCGGAATTGACCTCTTCGGGCCCCTCCCAACTACATCAGACGGCAAGAGATGGATCGTCACCGCCGTTGATCACTT